GCCCCTGTACTCAGCACTGGTGAGGCCGCACCTCGAATACTGTGTTCAGTTTTGGGCCCCTCACTACAACAAGGACATTGAGGTGCTGGAGCATGTCCAAAGAAGGACAATGAAGCTGGTGAAGGGTCTAGAGAACAAGGCTTATGAGGAGTGCCTGAGGGAGCTGGGGTGGTTTAGTTTGGAGAAGAGGAGGCTGAGGGGAGACCTTATTGCTCTCTACAACTACCTGAAAGGAGGTTGTAGCGAGGTGGCGGTTGGTCTCATCTCCCAGGTAAGCGAGTGATAGGAGGAGAGGAAATGGCCTCAAGTTGCACCAGGGGAGGTTTAGATCAGATATTAGGAAAACTTCTTCACCGAAAGGGTAGTCAGGCACTGGAACAGGCTGCCCAGGGAAGCGGTTGAGTCCGCATCCCTGGAGGTATTTAAAGGATATGTAGATGTGGTGCTTAGGGACATGGTTTAGTGGTGGACTTGATGATCTTACAAGTCTTTTCCAACCTAAACAATTCTATGATTCTATCATTATGAAGCATTTCTGGATGTTTCATCTGGATTTATTGTATTCAGATAAGCTCAGTGATATCAATGCAAGTAATGACAGAAATGACACATTGTATCTGATTATACATCTTGTATACTGAATTAGAACAATTAGGAGATTAAAAGTGAGCTGCTGAAGTACTCTCTTTTACAAGACCTCCCACGTCTTTGAGCTTCTCTGTGATGGCAAAGCATCTGTAGGAAGGGGAGGAATTCCACAGGGCAAAGAGGTTTGGAGCAGGTGGGTTCTTAGCCCACACGAGAATAGACAGGGCACTCCTTTGAGGGGTCACTCTTCTGCACCACGTCATAGTCGCAGCTTTTCTTGTTGAAAACGACTTTACAGTTCTCTTTGTCATAACCAACAGGAGTATGAAAGCTGCAATTGGCAAAGAGAAAGCAAATGTTAGACTGAGAGCAATATTCAGTGCTATAGTGGTTCAGTGATTATAGCTTGAACTAGTGCTGAGTGGGATACCTCTAAAACTATGGCTAAGACCAGCCTAGCTACCTTGAGTGACACACAGCTACAGCTTCCAGGGCCTCAAATGATGCCTTGCTGTACTGCGCTGTGTAGATGCACCATTATGCTCAGCACTAGCATAGTGATTTCTAGCACAGCACTCTACAATGTGACATAAGCATGGTCTTCGCATGTTTTATCTCTTTTCCATTAATTTTTCATTATTGCCAGTTTGCTTAGAATGTGGTAGATGTTTCCTGACAGATTGAGTGTCACCTGAGCAAAGTCTATGATCGTAATCAAGGCATTTTGGCCCTTTGAGAAGGTTGGATAAGAGGAAAGGAGGATGTTGGAGATGATAGATACTTCAGAGCAGAGGCTTCTCACTCTAGGGTCAGCATGTTCACTGGAGAAGAGCATCTCCTGAAATGGATTCAGATCATCGTAAGCCCTGTAAAGGAGCTTCACTTAAGTCCCTTGTGGAATGAATTCATTCCTACCCCCACTTTCCCTGCTAAGGAAAGACTTAACTGCAGTGTAAGAGGGGTCCACAGGTTGCTCAAAATAAAAGCAAGCACCAATTGGATGTGTCTGGAAGGGCTTGTGTCCACTCCCAGTCAGCAGAAAGTGAGCTCAGGTAAACACAGACAAGGATCCAAATGATCAAGAGCTGTATATAGCTTGCCCTAGCTCTGTGACAGGGGTCAGGAAAGGCTCTCTTGTGCCCTTAGGAACTCATTTAGTCCCAGTAAATGGAAAGCTGTGGTCTTCCTATGGGCAATGATGCTACCAAAAAGTTAAAACTTACAGGGAGCAGCAACGCATTGATTCTGGGTTGCAGCTGCATCTGAAGCAATTATCTGTCCTTGCGATCTCTCCAAAGGGGTATAGTTTTCCATCCAGGATACAGCCTGTGTAAGATAGCAGCAAAAGAAAACATGTTCTTTAAGCCTCCACATAAGGGCTAAAAAGTTTAAAAGTGATTGCAAGTTTTCTGAAAATGTTTTTCTTGGCAATAGTAAAGTAGAAGTAATTTTGTTCTCCAGGTTATTACCTGGACTATTTTGAGAGCCTGAGCTTGCTTCTTATTCACTTGTTAGACACTGTTTCAGTGTGACAGATCTGGGGTGAAAGTGAGGAACCAAACAGCCAGGTCTGCCACCTGGCACCACACTTTATTCAAAACTACCCTCAACTCCAGCATCAGCTCCACGTGCTGGAGTAGCAATAGCAACCCACCACCAATAGCAATAATATTGCTACAACCATACCCAGTCCAGGGGAAGACTTGGTTTTTCCCTACTTTTGGAAACTTGGTGCTGGAACCTCCTATTTGCCTCTTTCTGATATCTCCCCCCTCCCTTGTATTTTGAGCCCTTCCTGGCAGCTCCACATAGAGCCGAGCTGCCACAGAACACTCAAGTGAGAGGACCTTCCCTGTTCTTACCTTTGGCAGCCTCCCCTGGCTTGTGCATTTTAGAAAAGCAGTATGCGTCACCCAGCGTCACTACGATGCCCATTGCAACAAGGAAAGCCAGAAAGCTCTTCTGTAAAAAAGGCACAGAGCCCATGGAATTAATTCAATTCCACTTTGATTATCTTTCTTTTCAAAACCTAAATCACTGAACCTGAAGAAAAATTAGAAATAACCTTATGTGTACATGAAAATGTTGGAAAAGGGCACTCCAGATACTTCACTGCATTGATGACTTTTTCCTTTAGGTTGGAAGAGACAAAATGGTATGACAGAAATGTGTCAGCAGCATCACTCTCTGCTGAAGTCCAATCTCTAGAAATCATAAAAAGCTTCAATAGTATTATACACTTGAAAGCCCTGTCAGACTCTTATTAGTGCTTTATTTATTGCCTTTGAGACAGATTTAGCTATTTCTCCAGCAAATTGCTGTCTGTTTAGCATCCTATTGCTTCACTTTTGGGTACAGCAATTTCTCCAAATTTGGCAGTGGAGTGGAGATCTCAGACCTAATTATATTCCAGTAAATTTTTTGAAATAGGTGGCTGGGTAGAGAAGAGAGACACAAATTAGCATCTGAGGGCAAAATTCCAGTGCTGTATATTCTGCTTAGCAGCACATGAGCCATCTTGTCAAACCATGCACACACAGGTCTGGACATGTCACTGTACACCCTTCCTTTTGTCTAGTGGTGGCAACAGCTTTTGCCTAGTGGTGACAACAGCTAAACATCTGTAAGAGCTCTTCAGAGATGTCTGCTGGGACCTGCTGAA